TCCCGTGTGGGTGGTGCATGTACCTATTGCCTCCCCAAGGAAGCAAACAGGAAGCTGGAATTTTACAGCAGACCTGAACCCAGTCACTTTGACATGAGACGTGGACCGCTTAAGTGCTGTGCAAAATTGCCCATCCCCAGGGGTCTGTATTTTTAAGGTTTATTTATTTATTTGGTAGGCAGAACAACAGAGAGATGGGACAAGGAGAGAGTACTGGGCCATCATCTGCTGCCTTCCCAGGCACATTACCAGGAAGCTGGATTGGAAGCAGAGTGGCTGGGACTCAGACCAGCACTCTGATGTGAGATGCTGGCAGCGCGAGCGGTGGCTTAACCTGCTGCGCTACAACACCGGTCCCATCCCCAAGGGTCTTCACTAATAAAAACAGAGTAACCCAGACAACTCCCAGTGTCTGTCCAGTGAGTCTTCACGTGGAAACCTTCCACTTTGAGAACTAGACATTTTGTCAGTACAGGTTTTAACCACTCAGTTTTACAATGAACATACAATTCTTCTGGAATCTTAAAGAAACAAAAGCATAGAAAGTATTTATTGGAGCCGGTGCTGTGGTGCAGTGGGTTAAAGCCCTGGCCTAAAGCACCAGCATCCCATATGGGTGCTGGTTCTAGTCCCGGCTGCTCCTCTTCTGATCCAACTCTCTGCTATGGCCTGGGAAAGCAGTAGAGGATGGCCCAGGTCCTTGGCCCCTGCACCCATGTGGAAGACCCGGAAGAATCTCCTGGCTCCTGGCTTCGGATCCGCACAGCTCTGGCCCTTGCAGCCATCCGGGAAATGAACCAGCATATGGAAGACCACTTTCTGTGTCTCTACCTCTCTCTGTAACTCTTTCATAAATAAATAAATATTAAAAAAATTATTTCTTGTCTCCATGTATTCTTGGAGCACCTGGAAGGCAAGTGACAAGGACATGTGGCAGGAGGCCTGGTTGCCTTGCTGCCCTACTGAGGAACAGCTGGGCTGGGTGTTAGTAGTGATAAATTCTAAAACCAATAAGCTCCTGACATGTGGATGGGGAAGAACACAGTTTTCAGTAAGACGATGCCTGCTGATGGTGCTGGTACAGACCTGTCCTAACTTGGTTGCTGCTCTAACCCACTGACCCCTTCAATGGACATGATTCTACTGTTCAAGCCTTCTTACTGCACTGTGGAAAATACCCTATTCTAGACTGGCCCACAGGGCGTGGGCTGGGCCTCTCTGGAGCGCTCCCACCCTTCACCCTCCATTCCAATTTGAGGATTACGCCCCAGTGTGAATGGCCAGCCGGGAGGCATCTGGGATACCCAGAAGTTCACAGCAGGGCAGCAAGCTCTGTTCTCACCTGACTCTCCACCTGATAGGAGATAAAAGGGACTCATTCCACCTTCATGACAGCACACTTGCCACGGCTTAGTTTGTCTGGGATGCACGGCCTCCTGTGGATTTAGATCAATGACGAGTTTCTACCAAAGGAGCTGGATCACAATGTCTGACCCAAAGGTGGGTTTGGATTTCTGATTTGGGACAGGTATTGTGGCACAGCAGGTAAAGCTACCACTTGAAACACCTGTATCCTACACAGGCATGGCATTTCCAGTCTGGGCCACTTGGCACGTACAATCCAGCTTCCTGCTAGTGTTCCTGGGAGGCAGTGTCTCACGGCCTGAGTACCTGGGTTCCTGCCACCCACGTAGGAGACCTAGATGGAGTTCAAGGCTCCTGGCTTTGGCTTACCTAGCCCTAGATGTTGTAGTTAGGGAGGGAACCAACAGATGGAAGAATTCTCTGTCTCCTCTCTCCCATAAAGACACTCTGCCTTTGAAATAAATAATCTTTCAAAAAACACCCAAAAATAATTCCTATTTCCACTGGCTCACAACGGAGTCCCTTCACATCTTTGTCCTGCCATGCTGATCACAACCCAGGCAATCAACACAATGCTTTCCAAGGAAGCCAAGGCCATGGTTTTTAAAAATGAAGCAGCAATGTGTGTGGGCTCCTGCTAACAGCAACAGTGTCAGTGGAAGGCTGGGTCGTTGACAGCCCCTTGACGGTTAAATACCCTCTGCTGCTCCTCTCTCACCATCAGGAGCCGCCCGAGACCTTGGGGAACAGCTGACTGACGTCCTCCTGAGAGTCCCCTGTGTCCTCTGGGGGGGGGGACGGGGCAGGAAACAGCACTTCCTGGGCCACCGAAAGCTCCTGCTCAGAAAGTGGCTTTTCCTGTCTTTTCTTTTTTCGTGGAGTTGACAAAGGGAACCAGAAATGGCAAGATTTTTAAAGCAAGTTAAGTGATTTTACGGGGGTCAGGGCCTTGCTGTAACTGTAAAAGGCCCGTGGATGTGGAGGGCCACGGGCCACAGGCCTGACCTGTGTGGGTTCCCTGGACCTGCTCTTATCAGGAGGGTGAGGTGAGGGAACTGGGTGAAAACAGTGAAGAGCCTCTGCACTTCGATGGAAGGCCCACTTGAGACCGAATAGCTCCAAGGTGTTCCTTCGCAAGGTCATCCTTGAAAACAGTCCTTGTGTTCTGAGTTATCACAACCCGTGGGAGACAGCACCAGTGGGGTATCCTGAACCCCAAACACTCCAAAAACCAAAACCCTTGGAACACCAACATGATGCCACCAGTGAAAATCTACACCTGACCTCTGGCAGTTCAATGTATACAAACTTTGCTTCATGCACAAAGTTGTTAAAAAGATTACATAACACTACTTTCAGGCTGTGTACAAGGTGTACATGAAACAATTTCTTCTTTATACTGGAGTTGCATCCACAAGACCTTTCATTTTGCAAGTGCAAATACTCCAAAATAAAAAAAAAATCCAAATATGAAACATTTTTGGTCCTACGCATATCAGATAAGAGATACTTAACTCTCACTGAAAACTAAATTTCTCTAAGAATATGGAACCAAATTAAGGCTTCCCTATACACTAATTTTTCTCAAAACCAGGATTTCTACCGCAGATGTGAGAAAACGGTCCCTGCTCCTGATTCCACATTCATCTGATTCATATACAAAAACAGGATTATCTGGGGAGTGAGGAGATGCGTGCAGTGATGTGTAGCATGAGCCTGTGTCTCCTGTGTTCAGTAACTCAGCAGGACACTGTCATCGACACCACGCCATCTACATGTCCACACCAGACCAAGACAGACATGACAGAGTACATACATCTGGAAAAGTCATTTCCAAGAGTGTCTGCTTTCTGTATTGAAACAGAAGCATCTGGTTGTAAGAAAAAAAGCAAGTTATAATGCACGTTTCACTGTGTAAGACAACCACTGCTTCTGTGCAGTGGGCACCTGTGGGCGCCTGGACCCTGACAGTACTGGCAGCGTCCCCTCTCCTGGGGTCCATGTGAATGGATGATGCAGGGGGGCCGGTGGCTGGGTCTTGCCAGTGGGGAAGAGAAAGGGAACACAAAACTGCTGTTGGGCAACAAGAAGACATCAGCATTTCGCTTTTGGTGCTCGAGATTCTATCTGCCTTCCTGTGGTTCTGGTCCCCTGACCTACAAGCAATCCCTGCTCCATAATGTTAAGGGGCCCCAAATGGTAGCCTGCTGTTGAAGTACTGGGTTCGAGTCCGGGTTTGTCTTTAAGAGGCACAGGGCCTTGAGCAAGCCACCTATATATCTGTGAGCCAAGATTTTCTCATCTGTGAAAAATGGTCTGAGTTGTCCCTCCCTGCCTCTCATGATCTTGTTATCACATAAGAAACTTGTAACAAGCTACATTCCAGACTGGTGGCACGGACCATCCAGCCCGTGGAGACAACAAGGCCCGAGAAATCTTCACTCTGGCCCTGCCCAGGCAACTGCAGGCGGGACTCAAAATTCAGTAAGCTGATCGGCCCAGCTCCGGCCGTTGCAGCCATCTGGGGAGTGAACCAGTGGATGGAGGACCTCTCTCCCTCTCTCTCTGCCTCTCCTCTCTCTGTAACTCTGACTTTCAAATAAATAAAATCTTTAAAAAACATTTCAGTAAGTCTACAGCGGGCTGATTTTTTTTTTTTTTTGACAGGCAGAATGGACAATGAGAGAGAGAGACAGAGAGAAAGGTCTTCCTTTTGCTGTTGGTTCACCCTCCAATGGCCACCGCGGCTGGCGCACCACACTGATCTGAAGGCAGGAGCCAGGTGCTTCTCCTGGTCTCCCATGGGGTGCAGGGCCCAAGCACTTGGGCCATCCTCCACTGCACTCCCTGGCCACAGCAGAGAGCTGGAGCAGGCTGATTTTTAAGTTGGTAAATTTGTATGGCTTGCGAATGATGCTATAAACATACAAATGGCCCTTGGCAGCAAAAAGTTTACTCATCCCTGTTTAATGAGAAGTGCTACATGAAGGGAAGGCATGCATGGTTTTAGGACTTTAGTGGCAAGAACTGAGAAGATAACTAAGACTCCATTCTGACTGCCGCCTCCATCCGAAAGAATCCAAGGCTCCAGCAAACTGCTTGGCAAGGTGTTCACTGCCTCCTCCCCACCTTTTTCAAGTAGCCACAACAGTTCTCTAGATCCACTGATGGGGACCCAGCCTCTGGCTCATAAGCAGGCGCCTGCCAAGCTGGTGCGTGTGTGTGGCTTTACTCTCCACGGCGCAAGAGATCAGAGAAGTGGTTCTTGACTGGGAAGAGCTCACAAAGGACAGCTGCCGAAGGAGGCGAGTCTAGAGCTAGGACGGGCTGTGTCTCTGGTGCTTAGAGACCTTCTGGGGTAAATGGGCCTGACTCACCCCAGTTGTCCCCAAAAATCAAGAATTATAAAGAAACAGGAGAACCACATGGGAGAATGGGCGTAATACGGACAGGCAGGCTTCCTAGGGCCCTCAGCCTGCCTCTCTGGATTGTGCTCCCTCAGCAAACAGGCAGCTGCTTTCCCACTCAAGCCTCTGGCTCCTTTCGGAAGGGAGCAGGCCGCAGACCTGGAGCACATGCCGCTCTTCTCGGAGCCACTGGGTGACGCGCGTGTCGCACGGAGAGGCCAGTGTTACCTGGTGTGGCTGTTGGAGGACAGGCTCTCCCAGGGCTGCACGCTGCAGCCAGCCACAGTGAAGGCTCCCCCACAGCTGCCATCCAGCTTCATGAGCAGGGCCTTGGCGGCGTTCTCGGCTGTCTTCCGGCAGTCGTGGGCTCGCTTCAGCATCTGAGTAATGTTTTCATCCCCTGACTGGTCTCCTGCATTGCAGAGAAGCCAATGCATTAATCAGGGCAGGCTGGACAGGGCATCCCTGGGGAGTTTGCATGATCAATTGCTGGCTGCTCATGACAGGCGGCCAGCCAGTGAGGAGACCTGTGTCCTGGGCCTGGCCTTTAGAAGCTGGGTTTAGGAAGACATCTTTCTGCCCTGGCTCCATTGTTCTCACGGACAAATGAAGGGCTGGCCAATGTGGACTCCAAGGTCTTAGCCTTGTTAGGCTGGCACTTTCTCATCACCCCCAGCTCCTGACATCTCCTCCCACTCAGTCCCAAGTCCACTGTTTGGTCGTTCTGCTGTGCATTTCCTTATAAATGAGGGCACAGAGAAATTGCTAAATCTCTACATGTTTACAGCTTTGGTTAAAACTGTGTGTAGGTGAGACAAAACTAACAGTTCAGATGAAAATTATTTCATATGTATGCATACATACACAAATACACATGCACATATATATAATATGTAAAATATATATGCTCCCTATTTTACGTATCAACATTGTCCCTGACCCTCCTCTGAGCTTGGTAGTGGTGCAAACTCAGCTCTCCTGGGAGCCTGTAACTGGGCTGGAGCTCGGATGTCAGGGCACGGTGGGCACGAGCACGCAGCGGCATGGGCACTCCTGTTCACTTTCTTGTGTTTTCGAAGGTGCTGGAAAATGCCAAACTGTGCAGACATCCAGGAGACGGGTGGCGTCAGGGGCTGGGGGTGGTGAGGGACAGGAGAAGCACAGAGGGCCCTCAGGGCAGTCACACCCTTCTGGAGGAAGCTACAATGGTGGATGCCCATGAACACGCCCTTGTCCAAACCAAGAGTGTATGAACTGCAGACTCAGTACGCTGGGTGAACCCCATGTCAGTGTAGGCTCACGAATTTTAACAAATATGCACTGCTCTGTTGGGGGGGGTGTGTGCATGTGTCAGGGAGGGGGGAGATAAAAAATGTCTGCACCTTCTCAATTTTGCTATGAACTGAAAACTGCTCTAAAAAAATAAGTTTTGGTTGGGGCATTTGGCACAGAAGTTAGGATACCCACATCCCATACCAAAGTGCCTGGATTTGAGTCCTGTCTCTACTTCTCATTCTAGATTCCAGCTAATGTGCACCATGGGATGCAGCATTAGTATTTGGGTCCCAGGCACCCACAGCCCAGCCCAGCCCTGGGCAATGCATCCATGTGGGGAACAGAAGATCTCTCTCTCTTTCCCTATCTGCCTTTCACCTAAAATAATTACAGTCTTACTGAAACAAAACAAAAATTGCACTGGTCAAACAAGTCACTGGTTTGCCACCTCTGCAGTGCTGATCCACACTCTCTGGAATATTTTCAAATGAATTACTTGGGGACACACTCAACTTCTCCATCCTTCAACCCCACTGCCAGGGTCCAAAGAAATTCCTCTGGCTTCCCGGGGCATGGTTTGAAAACCACCAGCCTCAGTCATCTCCAGTGAACATAATGAATGCCTACCAAGTGGACAAGAAACAGAGAAAGCCACAGTAACTGATACTGTGGGCCAGTGTCGCCAGTGAGGTCTTGCTTGGCTGTGCAACTGTACAGCACACTAGAGTAGAATAACAGGCCAGGGTGCTGCTGGCAGAATGGGAGCCTGGCGCTTAGTGGGGGCTGCATTAGACCAGCCACGGCCTGGTGAGAGGGGGAGAAAGCGGGTGGGCAGGTCTTGAAGGCTGGAACTCACCGAACTCCTCTGGCTGTTTCTGACAGGTCTGGCTTCCTTCAACAAGAGGGACAGCTTCCATACCTCTCACCAACTGAGCACCTGAATTGTGTCCTGAGGTAGGCACATCACCACTGACTGGCTCCCCTTACAAATATATATGCAGACGCTACCCATTACTAGGCAAGTGCAAAGCACTGCATTACTGATTTCAAATACCTTCAATGCAGACTTTTATGCTCCTTTAGCTCCTACCAAGGAACTGCACTGAGTAGCTACAAGCCTCATAAAAGCCTTTTCAGGATGGAACAGGTTAAGACATCCCTCTGACACAAACTGGAAAAAAGATGATTGATTGTTCCCTTTAATTGATCATTTCTCTTAATGTACATATTTTTAAAAAACCTGACAGCAGCCAAGATCATTTTAGGATCCGTTTCATAGGAGGAGTGAAGTTTTATGGTTCAGTTAAAAGGCTCTGAAAAATGAGGTTTCTAATGGAAATGCTGGCAGAATTTCCACTTTGAGGCTGGGAATGTAATACTACTAAAAAAGAAAGAGAAAACCCAGGAGTAGGAGGAGAAGATGGCCACCCATACAAATAAAGGCCTGCTCCCTTGGTGGGTGCCCTGGACGGAAAGCAGGAAATTAACACCCACAGCCCAGCACTTCCTTCTTCAGAGTCCTGCGCGTGTCAAAACCAGAGAAGGAAGAGCACGTGAGGGTCAGTGCAAAGCCAGGGTCCAGGGAGGCGAGGGAGCTGGTGAGGACAGACATGTACTCAGAAGGTGCCTGGAAGGGGTGAGGTCGGGCCCAGCAAAACGCAGGCTCCCTGAAGAGCTGCGGGCCCTGAGACCAAGCTCAAGTCACTGCGGCAGAGGGTCTGGTCACTACCACCTTTGGCTCTGGGGTTACTGGCCACTTTGGCTTCCTGTATACCTGTCCTTGCTCTTCCAAGCTGCTACTGTTAGGAAGTGGAGGTAGGGCCGTGTCACCGAGAGGGGCAAGCTTCTTCCCTTCATCTCTCTTTCCTCTCAAGCACTGTATGTGCTGCTATCTTCCTAAAGTGTGCAGGGCCCAGCCACATCACCGGCCAAACTACAGCAGCTGCTGCTGCCTAGGCCGCTGCATTTATGTTGTTTGTAGGTAAGACACCCCTCCACTCACTCAAACTGAGGGACAGAAGTGGGGTTAGGGGAACAGGGAGGGCCTTGATCCGGCTGTGTGTGTGTGTGTGTGTGGGGACAAGGTAGGTCATCAGACAGCCCTGTTCCACTGTGGAGTGGGTGTGTGTGTGTGTGTGTGTGTGGGGACAAAGTGGGTCATCAGACAGCCCTGTTCCACTGAGGAGTGGGTGTGTGTGTGTGTGTGTGTGTCGGGGGGGACAAGGTAGGTCATCAGACAGACCTGTTCCACGTGGAGTGGGTGTATATGTGTGTGTGGGGGGGGGACAAGGCAGGTCATCAGACAGCCCCGTTCCACTGTGGAGTGGGTGTGTGTGTGGGGACAAAGTGGGTCATCAGCCTCGTTCCACTGAGGAGTGGGTGTGTATGTGTGTGTGGGGGGGGGGCAAGGTAGGTCATCAGACAGACCTGTTCCACGTGGAGTGGGTGTATATGTGTGTGTGTGTGTGTGTGTGTGTGTGGGGACAAGGCAGGTCATCAGACAGCCCCGTTGCACTGTGGAGTGGGTGTGGGGGGGGACAAGGCAGGTCATCAGACAGCCCCGTGCCACTGTGGAGTGGGTGTAGGTGGGGGGACAAGGCAGGTCATCAGACAGCCCCGTGCCACTGTGGAGTGGGGCTCACAGTTAGCGCTGCTTAGTCACGGGACACTGGGATGAAGGAGAGTCCTGGCCAAGAAAGCAGTGAGAGGAGACAAAGGCCCCTGGGCAGCACAAGGCCCCCAGCCAGCAGCATCCCAGAGCCGGCCCACTCATCACTGGCGGCCCTCCTGCTCCAAGTGGGCCCGCTGTCAGCTGAGGAGACCAGGACTCTAAGGCCTGTGTGCTTCACCTTTTCTGTAACTGTTTCTGCTCCAGGTGGCATCACCATCAACAAGCTGCCCGCTCAGTCATGAGGGCACTGAAGAGCACATTGACGGGCACGTTTCACGCTGCCGTGAGATGACTCAGTGTCAGCAGCGGTGACGAGTGGAGAGCACAGAGGCAAGGAAACGAGACCAGGAGGTTCGGCCAGGGGCCAGGCGGAGCACTCACCCGGGGAGGAGCCCACACCGGCCGCGCGGAACTGTCCCAGGATCAGGCTCTGCTCACTCTCGGCCAGCGCCAGGAGCAGCTCGTAAGCTTCGATGCACTGCTCACTGAAACACAAGCATAAGATCAAGGTGGTGGTCTCAGACTGCAGGGGGTACCTCCAAAGCCTGTGCTGTCCTCGGGGGGAGGCAACCAGCGGCTGCCCAGCCTCACCATCAACGTGAGCAGGAAAGCACCCAGGAAAGCCGCTGGACAAGGGGGTGGCTCATTCTGTTAGGTCTGTCTTTGTTCTTGTTGTGACTTCCAACTAAGTTCTAGAAACACTCGAGAACAGCACTAAAGGAGGCACAGGACATCGCTGCCCCTTGGACGGCAGGCTAGACAAGAAGGGCGGTCCCCTGGTGAGTGGGCCTCCGTGTGGCCCACTGAGCCCGGCACTCCGGTACTCACACCGTGGAGCTATGGGACCAGGGGCTGGTGCCAGGGCTGGTGTGTGTCACTAAAGAATGTGGCGAGGTGGCGGCATGTCACATCCAGAATCAGGTTATTAGAAACAATGTGACTGCCTCTCCGTCACCTCCTCCCACTCCGCTTTCTCTCCCAGTGTCGTGCTCTGTAGAAGGCCAGCTGCCCTGGCCTGCAGACTCCCAGCTGGCCCTGGGGGGTGGAGTCCTCCAGCCAACAACCTCAGGAGCGAGGCCTCACAGCAGCTGGTCCTGCAGGTGACGCAGCCTTGGCTGACAGCTTGACCAGAACCACTTAGCTCAAACTGGTACTGGCAGGAGACCCCGGAGGAGACAGTTGTGACCCAGACCGTGCAACTCAATGCAGCAGCCACTGGCCACATGTGGCTACTTAAATGTTTAACATTTTTTTTTTTTTTTGACAGGCAGAGTGGACAGTGAGAGAGAGAGACAGAGAGAAAGGTGTTCCTTTGCCGTTGGTTCACCCTCCAATGGCCGCCGCGGCCGGTGCGCTGCGGCCGGCACACCGCGCTAATCCGATGGCAGGAGCCAGGAGCCAGGTGCTTTTCCTGGTCTCCCATGGGGTGCAGGGCCCAAGCACCTGGGCCATCCTCCACTGCATTCCCTGGCCACAGCAGAGGGCTGGCCTGGAAGAGGGGCAACCGGGACAGAATCCGGCGCCCCAACCGGGACTAGAACCTGGTGTGCCGGCGCTGCTAGGAGGAGGATTAGCCTAGTGAGCCGCGGCACCAGCCCTAAATGTTTAACATTTTAAGTTACAATAAAACGAAAGACTTGGTTCCTCCATTGCAGTAGCTGTACTTAATAGTTCAACAGCCACACGTGGCTAGTGGTTGCTACAGCAGACAGCACAGAAGGTGCTTGTAAAGTCCCCTCAGAACACGCCTCAGCCTCCACAGCTCTCATGAGAGGAGGAATTCAGACGGTTCAGAGGATGAACTACTTTGTGTCCATCATCCACCGTGTGAGCGGCCCCTTTCCCGCACCTGGGCCGTGCAGGCCCCTCCAGACGGGGTAGAACACGTGTGTGACACCTGCGGGAGCCCTGACAGGAGGCTGCCGGTAGCAAGACTTCTTCCCCAAGCCAAGGCCTGATTAGCTGCCCCGGCAGAGCAGGGAGAGCACTCCTTTGATGAGGAGACCACCTGCCTGTGCCTGCCTTTACTTCCACTGCCCTTGGTGAGTTAAGGACAAGAGCTCAATCACGGCACGTGCTGGCAGATCTTCCCTCCACAGTCGCGCAGGCCTCAGCCTGGAGCTGCCAGGACACTCGGTGTCCGCGAGGAAGAGCTCAGCTGCAGGCGCAGGCAGCCGGCGGCCCGTTCTGGGGGTCTGCAAACCAGAACCGCTGCTCTCCAGCTCTGGTCTCATACGCCTTGGCTTAACTTTTTTTTTTTGAAGATAATATGTTCCATAAAGCAGTACTGAACTTTTTACCAGGTTGTTTGCAATTAGTCAGCCACTCTGACACCTTGGCAAATATACTGGAGCCGGTATCACTAATAAATTAAACCTATGAAGACAGTACTGTAACACAGTTGTGTAGCTTTAAACAAGCAGTAATTTAAAAGCAGACGTACTCCAAAGCTCACGGGGCAGAAAAAAAAAGGGAGAGAGACATTTTTATTTCACTTGCTCACCAATAACTGAGTTATGGTTATTTAAAATGACTTTTTTTTTTCTAAATGATTTATTTACTTGAAAACAGTTACAGAGAAAAAGAGGGGGGAGAGAGAGAGATCTTCCATCTGTTGGTTCACTCCCCAGATGGCCAGTGCTGGGCTGGGCGGAAGCCAGAGCTTCGTGTGGCTCTCCCACCTGGGTGCAGGGGCCCATGTACTTGGCCCATCTTTTGCAGCTTTTCCAGGCTCATTAGCAGGGAGCTGGATCAGAAGTAGAGCAGCCAGGACTTACCCTGGCACCCATATGGGATGCAGGCACTGTGGACAGTGGCTTAACCTGCTACACCACAACGCTGTCTCCAAAATGGCTTGTTTTAATGGGGAAAAAGTGACAGCCTATCTGAAGAACCATAAAAACAGTCACGTCTTTTGACCTATACCTCCTGTTTCAGATATTTTTATCTCAAAGAAAAGATTCAAACAAATGAAGATGTCACCTATATTACTTACTCAAGTATTATTTCCAATATCAAAAATCTGCAAAAGTCTAAAATTTGTTTAGAGAAATGATTAAATAAAATAAAAAAATACATAAACTCAATGCAGAGGATACAGCTATTCAAAAGACACTACTGAGCAACATGAAAAACTATGACACACTGAACGCGCAGAATACATTATACATAAAATAAATTATAGATAAAAATTATTAAACACCAGAAAAGCAAATATAGAACACAAAAATCAACATTTTGAGTCACTGCTTAAATGAAATAAAGCCTTACTTGAGTATGTCATCGGAAAGATACCCCACTAATGGCAAATTCATGACCTTTATTCTCTTGACTGCGACAGGGTCCTGGCCGAGTTTCAGTACGCATCACACCAGTGTCGACTGCTCCTACCCCCGACTACGTCTTCTAACAGCCTGGTTGCTGCTCTGACACAGGTTTATCACGGCTGCAGTCCTGAGAATCTGAAGTGGCTACCCAGGTGGAGCGTGCGTCTTGCCCACCTGTACTGCAGGGCCAGCCTTAGCGCTGTGGCGTTGGACTCGTACTTTCCCACCAGCATGCTCATCCTCTCGGCGTTGCTTTTACATTCTTCCAGCGTTATTGTCAGGAGGTCATTTTGGGATTTGAGGTGTTCAATGCGGCTACAAAAGAAGAAAAACCACTTTTACACGAGGGCTGTTAATTAATTCACTACTATTTTAGTTGTCTCATTTGTATTCAGGCCAGAAATATGTCAGGATGTGGACTTGTCAGATGTTCTAACAAATCTGTCAAAAATAATCGAGGAAACAACTCCAAATAAAAGAATCAGTAAATTTCATGTGACTCAAATAAAAATAAGCCCCCTGATTACTTTTTTTAAAGATTTAATCAGATGCCTTTTTTTTTTTTTTAAAGATTTATTTATTTATTTGAAAGCCAGAGCTACACAGAGAGGAGAGGCAGAGAGAGAGAGAGAGGTCTGCCATCCGCTGGTTCACTCCCCAGTTCAACGGATGGAGCTGTGCCGATCTGAAGCCAAGAACCAGGAGCTTCTTCCAGGTCTTCCACGTGGGTGCAGGGGCCCAATGACTTGGGCCATCTTCAACTGCTATCCCAAGCCATAGCAGAGAGCTGGATCTGAAGAGGAACAGCCAGGACTAGAACCGGCGCCCATATGGGATGCCAGCGCTTCAGGCCAGGGCGTTAACCCGCTACACCACAGCGCTGCCCCCCCCACCCCGCCCAGTTACTTCTCCACCCATTCTACAGGTGCTATGTGCCAGGTTCTGTGCGAGGCGCAAGGAAAGGGGACAGCCATGTGACCCCAAGGGCATCTTGAGAGTCATGTCAAGTGCACATCATCCCTAAGTCCCACTCCACAGGCACAGGGGAGACAGGGTACGGCAGTAACAGCTACATCTGCTTTTCTTTTTTATTAAAGATATATTTATTTATTCATAAGGCAGAAGGACATAGAAACAGAGAACAGAGATCTCCTATCTGCTGGTTCACTCCCCAAAATATCCCACAACAGCTGGGGCTGAGCCATGCCAAAACCAGGAGCCAGGAGCTCCAACTGGGTCTCCCAAGTGGGTGGCAGGAATTCAAGAAACTAGGTCATCATCTGCTCCCTCCCAGGCAAGTTAGCAGAAAGCTGGACAGGAGACGGAGGAACTGGGACTTTGAACCAACACTCTGAGACAGTAGGTGGGCGTCCCAAGCAACAGCTTAACAGGCTACACCTGCTCCAATACCTGCTCCAATACCTGTGCGTGTCTAGTCTTTCCTAAACCATATTCCCATTACCCTTTGTTTTATTTATTTATTTTTTTGACAGGCAGAGTGGACAGTGAGAGAGAGAGAGAGACAGGGAGAAAGGTCTTCCTTTTCTGTTGGTTCACTCCCCAATGGCTGCTGTGGCCGGCACGCTGCGCCAATCCAAAGCCAGGAGCCAGGTGCTTCTCCTGGTCTCCCATGGGGTGCAGGGCCCAAGCACTTGGGCCATCCTCCACTGCACTCCCTGGCCACAGCAGAGGGCTGGCCTGGAAGAGGGGCAACCGGGACAGAATCCGGTGCCCCGACCGGGGCTAGAACCTGGTGTGCTGGCGCTGCAGGCGGAGGATTAGCCTAGTGAGCTGTGGCGCCGGCCCCCACTACCCTTTGAAGTATTATACTCATTTCTCAGTTGAAGAAACTGAGGCACAGAAGGATAAGTACTTTGCCCAGGGATCTGAATGAGGCAGTCTGGCCAGACTACGTGCTATCAAACATTCACTTCGGAACAGAAGTACAAGACGAACTGGCAAGTACACCTGAGAATACACCCCTGAGAGCTTCCAGAGGGAAGTGGACCAGGAGCTGGGGACCGCATCCAGTGCTCCTTCCAGGCTACAGAGCGGCAGCTTTAAGTCCTGGTGGCCCAAGTCCTGGGAACTCTCCAGTTTTATTGGAGTTAGAAGTGCATACTCAGCACAAATGAGTTTGCGGCAAGTTAGAAAACAAAACCTGAAACTTCATCTTCCCCACTTTGTGTCCTGGGACATGCACGCCCTAGACGAGGGGATTCACTTTCCATGGGGCATGCTCTTTCGTAGGGCTCTGACCACAAAGTCTTAAAGACACAGACAGTGCAAACGACTCCCGAACATTCAGGGCTTGGAGGCGACCTGCCTTGAGACAAACCTTAGTCACATCTCAGAGCAGAACACGGGGCTGCCTGCCACAGTGCGGGACACTGGGCGAGCCCAGAACTGCCCGTCAGGCTCTGCGACCCCAGGGTCAAGTCGAGGCAAGGTGTCACAAGCTTCCCCTGCCCCTGCTCAGGTCGAGACGTCCTGACATGGTCCCCACTGCCTCGCTGACTTGCCAGCTCGCTCCGGTGAATGTTCGGTCCCCGGAATGGGCTCCCAGACCTCCGCAGGGCCCTGCTCGGCCCCACGCTTGGCCCCACGCTCAGGTCCGGAAGGCTCTGCTGCTCTCTGTCCTGCCTTAGAGACCACTTCTTCCCCGTCTCCTCACTCTCTGTCACGTCTGCGAGGCTGGCGTTGGCTCAGGTCTTGGTCCTGGGCCCTGTCAGTAATTCCCCTCTGTGGGTAACGTCACTCAGCGCCACTTCAACGGGCATCTGGGTTTCCGTGGCTCCAAACTCCTCCGGCTCAGGCCTCTTCCGCATGCCACGGATGATTCCATGGGGGGCCCGCGGCCATCTTGCGTTACGCTCCAAAAAGGGATTCTTGGTTTCTCCCAGACCTCGTCCTCCCCTATCTTCCCATCTCAGTGAACGCCACCCCTCAAACCCAGCCCCAGCGTCTTCTTCAAGACCACCCCTGTCTCTCGCATCCCAGTCCAACCCCGCTGTGGTTTCTGCTGACTGTGCCACTGCACACATCCTGACCTGGTCCTGAGGCCGTCTCAATGGGCTGCCCTGGCCCTTGTTCCCACTCTCTCGCTCCCAGCCTTTCCATTCTTCACCCGAGTGATCGTTCCAATAGTAAATCAGACCCTGTTCTTCCCTCAATTAAAACCATTTTATTTATTCAAGGTTGCTGTCCAGCTCTCCCTAACCTCTTCGTTTGTCAGAAGGCTGCTCCTCTGTTCCATGACGCCTCAATGGAACCCTCCCACCTTCAGGGCCACCTTCCCTACACCCCTCCCCACTCCTGTCAGTGTCCTGACGTCCTTCCTGGAGCTGGCTCGTAACTCCCCTTGTCCTTGTCTATCTCCTCTAACCTCTTCTGTTTTACTTTGCTTTGTATGTCAAACAGCCTAACATAGAGCAGGTGCTTTATTTTATTGTTTCCCAAAAAAACCTTTATTTAAGGAATACAAACTTCATGCATTTCCTAAGTACAACTTTAAGAATACAGTGATTCTCCCACCATACCTGCCATCCCACTCCTCCTCCTCTTCTGTCTCCCATTCCCAGTCCCATTCTCCACTAAGACCCATTTTCAATTAATTTTATACACAGAAGACCAACTCTATACTAAGTAAAGAGTTCAACAATTTGCACACACACACACATATACACATACACAAAACACAACTGTTCAACGGTCAAGACAAGGGCTGTTCAAAATCATTGCCTCTTGAAGTTAATTTCACTTCTTTTTTAGAAACTTAACTATTATTTATTTATTTATTTTATTTATTTGACAGGTAGAGTTATAGGCAGTGAGAAAGAGAGAGAGAGAGAAAGGTCTTCCTTTTCCGGTGGTTCACTCCCCAAATGGCCTCCATGGCCAGAACTGCACTGATTCGAAGCCAGGAGCCAGGTGCTTCTCCTGGTCTCCCATGGGGTGCAGGGCCCAAGCACTTGGGCCATCCTCCACTGCCTTCCCGGGCCACAGCAGAGAGCTGGACTGGAAGAGATGCAGCCGGGACTAGAACTGGTACCCATATGGGATGCTGGCACTGCAGGCGAAGGATTAACCAAGTGAGCCACGGCGTTGGTCCTGAAACTTAACTAACTTTAAAGAAGCACCAAAGAATGATACATCTTTTGCAAGCACTTAGACATAATTATAACACAACTCCTTGAGGACAGAGGTCCTGCATGGGAAGTTAGTGCACAGTGACTCCTGTTGCTGATTTAACAATTAACACTCTTATGTATGACGTCAGTGACCACCCCAGGCTCTTGACATGAGCTGCCTAGGCTGTGGAAGCCTTCTGAATCCACAGTCTCTGTCAGCATTTAGACAAGGCCACAGCAAAGTGGAAGGTCTCTCCTCCCTTCAGAGAAAAGCAGCTCCTTCTCTGATGGCCCCTTCTCTCCACTGGGGTCTCAGCCACCGAGGTCCTTCATGCAGGACAGCTTTGGGCACAGGGTCCTGGCACTCCAGGCCTGCAGAGCAGGTGCTTTAAGGGAGGAAATGTTCCTTCTGTTTGGTACAGCCCCTCAGGGCAATCACAGGGTTTCTTGAAGGTAAATAAGCCTCCAGCTTTGAGAGTTCCACACCACACGTGAGCACGCAGAACCACAGGTTCCAGCTGTAGTGATGACCACAAAGGGGACGATGGAAACAAGAACAAAGAGCAGGGGCTGACTTGTTCCCTGGCCGTTCAGTCACTTTGGACTCAGGGCACAGCAATCAGTATCTGACTTCAAGGCCTTGGTCTTCGCGTTTCTTTCTTTCTTTTTTTTTTTTTGGACAGGCAGAGTAGACAGTGAGAGAGGAGAGAGACGAGAGAAGTCTCTTTTCGTGTCACCCCCTAAATAGCTGCTACGGCCGGCGCGCTACGCCAATCCAAAGCCAGGAGCCAGGTGCTTCCTCCTGGTCTCCTGGTCTCCCATGCGGGTGCCCAAGCACCTGGGCCATCCTCCACTGCCTTCCCAGGCCACAGCAGAGAGCTGGATCAGATGAAGAGCAGCCGGGACTAGAACCGGTGCCCATATGGGATACCTGTGCCGCAGGTGGAGGATTAACCCACTGCGTCACGGCGCGGGCCCCAGTCTCCGCATTTCTAAGAGAGTAAGTACCCTCTAAGGGGGTAAGTCCCGTGGAGGACCATGTGGCTGTCTGTGTGAGCCTCCTGTGGCCTGTCAGACAGCGGAACAAGGCGAGCTCCCAGCACCAAGGATTCCCCTTCTTCCGTCTCTCCTGGCACACAATTGAGGAGCGAGGACCCCAACATCCAGCCGTGAAACAGCTTAACCCCCAGAACTGCAGAAAGGAGGTCCTCCCTGAACTGAGGCCCCCTGGAAGGTGCCCGACTTCAGGAAACTGCAAAGGGCACACGTGGCTCCCAGGCCAGCAAAACCCAGAAAGCTGCTGCCACTTCCCTGGTGTGGGGGCCTGCATCAGGGCCGTCCCTCTTCACTGTCTTGGATTTAATAAGGAGACCATTAATTTTGAGATTCAAAGTGACCCGGATTGCCACATTTCCTTAGTTCTCAAGAACTACCTCACAGAGCTTCAAATCAGGGAGGATTGACAGGATAATTTAATTCTGTTTCACCATACACAAGAGGAATGGAATTAAGCAACAGTGGTGGGGAACAGTCTCCACATGTCTTCTGAACTCTCACTACATTCCCCAGTAAGGACGGGAGGGTCACGCAGCCACGCCACTCGTGCGTGCGGCCTCAGAGGCCAGCCTGCCCCCATGGATCCTGCTGAGTCAGACTGGTGCCGTGGCTTGGCCAGGGTCCTCCTGTGCTGTCTGAGAAACTGCCTCCCCAGGGGGATGACACACCAGCCTTCACCAGAAGCCGAGACAGCAAACTCCTGCTCCCTCTGCTGTGAGAGTTGGAGGAAAATCCCTAAAACTGGCTGTCTGGTAAACAGATCTGTGGGACAGCACAGAACGTGGGGACTCAGGGTTGGGCGCATTTGCAAAGACAGACATAAAATTAGGAAATCGCCATGAAGAGCAGGAAGAGTCAGACCAGCAGGCCTGGCCACCACCAGGCCCATCTCGACCACACGCCTCTGCTGGTTCCTGGGAGTTCCCGGCGTCCCGGGACACTCACAGAACATTCCAGGCCTTTGGTCTGTGGTTCTCTGCAGCCCTCTGTGACCTACTTGCCAATCTGTGGACTGCCCTCAGGACCTGCTATGTAATTCTGTGCAAAATCAAACAGTGAAGTGTCTTGCTTCTGAATTATTCACAATTCAGAACAGCAACAGCCTAAGAGCAGAGCAGCAAAGCACCCAAGGACTAGGCCCTGGGTGACTGCAGGGGCTGCACGCCCTGAAGTCAGCCCTGGCTACGGCTCCCAGTCCTCCCAGCCCAGACGCTGGAAACCGCCTCCCCAGCGACAGCTGGACCCACTCACAGTGCACAAACACACAGGACTCTGCTTACCTATTCAGCCGCTCTGTTTCCACCTCAAACTCTCGAATCTTGCTTTCAGAGATGGCAGAGCCGTGTGAGTAGAGTGTCTGGAAAATCTCTTGGATGTTGGAGCAGTCCTGAAGCGAGTGGGCCAGGTGCTCAGCCACACTGCTGGAGACCTGCACATGCGAGCAGAGGCTTCCCTAAGGACAGTGTCACTTGGCGGATGCAAACCAATTTAGAGCTGATACTCCCCAGGGAATCTAAGACTACGGCACGCTGACTCTAAGGGTTCTCAGTCTGTCTAATTCTGGTATGAAGAGAACAAAAATAAAGTTGCATGCACCCAACACATACTGGTGGGCAGCAATGCTGGGCTCACCAGACCTTTTTTATCTACCTTCTGGGTGCTAAACAAAGTCTGGACTGCTGGCTCATGCTGAACAGCCCGCCACTGCACGCTGGGGTCCCTGTGTACTGTAGTCAGGGTGTAGGCTTATCCCTTTATTCTCACCATTGGACTCTGGCCTGGATTTGAATACATGCAATTTTTATTCAGGGCGAAATTCAAAATCAGGAGCCTTAAAAATATTCTTCAGGCTCTCCTCAGCCCCGACAATCAAAGAGCTGGCTCTTCCAGAGAGTATCCCTGAAGCAAGGCAAACAGCTCCATCTGCACCACCCATCGGTTCTTCCAGGCCCTGAGGCCCACGGACTCCAGGATGAAAACCCCAGACCTGAACTGGATGGTGCTGGTCTTGCCTGGGGCTGAGTTACACTTCAAAGGCAGCAGTGGCCTGAGGGGAGAGCACCTTCCCTTTCAGACACACAGTTCTCTGACAGCACCAGGACTCTGGTCTCTGCCGGGCAGGTGACAGAAGGCAGACAGCTCAACATTTTCATTTGCATCACTAGGAACTAAGCCTTTTTTTTTTTTTTTTTTTTTTTGGACAGGCAGAGTTAGGCACTGAGAGACAGAGACAGAGACAGAGACAGAGAGAAAGGTCTTCCTTCCGTTGGTTCACCCCCAAAGTGGCCGCCACGGCCAGCGTGCTGCGCCGATCTGAAGCCAGGGGCCAGGCACTTCTTCCTGGTCTCCCATGCGGGTGCAGGGCCCAAGCACTTGGGCCATCCTCCACTGCCTTCCCAGGCCACAGCAGAGAGCTGGACCACAAGAGGAGCAACCAGGACAGAATCCGGTGCCCCAAACGGGACTAGAACCCAGGGTACCGGCGCCGCAGGCAGGGGATTAGCCTAGCGAGCTACGGTGCTGGTCTTGGTCGTTTCTTTACTTGAATGGTTTCAATAGAGGGGGAAGAAAACCTCCTTTAAACCTGACCAAGTAATTCACCAAGTGGAAAGCGGTGCACATTTTAATTTGATCCTCTGGGAGGAGGCGGAGTACGATCTATCACGATAAGTAGCTGGTGACTGGTGGTGAAGTCTGGGGGTGCTGCGTCAGAAGCCACGGTCTGGGCAGCTCTCGTGGGTACGTTCTTGCCTGGCCTCCAGGACCACTCACCCCTATGCTGCTGATTTCTGAGCCCAGGACCGGCCGGTCAGATGAGGAGGACTCGGACCTTGTCTTTGATAGCTTTACCCTCTCAGCAATCTTAAAAAACAAAACAAAAAATTATCAGAAGAAGTACACATCACTCCTTAGGCAAACTGTCCGGGGCTATGTACTCACAAGGCTTACTTTCAACCACATCAACTCAATAGTCTCATTAAACCCTGAAAGGCAACTCGCTTGTCCAATCTTTCTATGGTCAGCCGAGGCCAGGGCTCCGGTGCTCTGCACGGCTGACACTTCACACGGCTAACTCTTTGCTGTGGGGGTTGTTCTGTTTAGTAGCATCCCTGGTATCCAGCCACGAGATGCCAGCAGCACTCCAGTTGTGACCATCAAAAGTCTTCCTCGACACTGCCAAAGGCACCCTGGAGACAAAATCACTTCCTGCTGAGAAATACTGCTTTAACCTAACCTACTACACTGACTGCTGAGAACCAAACTCACTGTGGAGATGAGCAGGCGGGGGCAACATCATTTTGGCAGTCCCCGAGGGCTGTGGTAGACAGGGTGTGGTGCTTCTTAGGATGGCCATGGCATGCTGGCTGGCAGAACCGTCACACTGTGAGCGGGAGAGCCCTGGTTCATCACTCAGGCACCCCCACTGGCTGGACTGCAGTCCTTGAGAGCAACTCTGCATCCACCAGCAAGTGCTATCACACCTGACGAACGTCTCCCTCCGAACAGGGACTTGTCAGCTGTGACATTCTCCAGCCGACTGATTAATGAGATCTGGGGTCCAGGTTGCAGCTGAGAGAGATGCAAAACTCTTAGTGGGTCATCTCTCCCTGCAGCTCCAGTGCAGGAAGCCCCGGGGGAGCTGCGGGCTCGCCTGCACAATGGCAAGCTCCCACATAGCAGAAGGTGCCCCCCACACCGTCCTGTCCTTGGCACTCACCTTGGCAATGGGAATGTCATTGCTGCTGCTGCTGGTACTTAGCTCTCCGGTGCTGGGGTTCACAGGGCGGTTGGGGGCAGTGAGGCGGCCGGGGCTGGAGGGACCAGTGGCCTGCACGCTCTGCAGTCGGGTTTGAAGCTCTCGAACCTGAAAGCACAACGGACTTCAGACACAGCTGGCAGTTCCCCAGGCAAAGGGCAGAAGACCAGATGGGCCGATGGCAGACACTTTGTCTATAGGCAAGAATCAGCCATACTGGAAGGCTAAACTGATCAAGTCCTTACATATAAAAGTCACTGTTGGCCGGCGCCGCGGCTCACTAGGCTAATCCTCCGCCTTGCGGCACCGGCACACCAGGTTCTAGTCCCAGTCGGGGCGCCGGATTCTGTCCCGGTTGCCCCTCTTCCAGGCCAGCTCTCTGCTGTGGCCAGGGAGTGCAGTGGAGGATGGCCCAGGTGCTTGGGCCCTGCACCCCATGGGAGACCAGGAGAAGCACCTGGCTCCTGGCTCCTGCCATCGGATCAGCGCGGTGCGCCGGCCGCAGCGCGCCGACTGCGGCGGCCATTGGAGGGTGAACCAACGGCAAAGGAAGACCTTTCTCTCTGTCTCTCTCTCTCACTGTCCACTCTGCCTGTCAAAAAAAAAAAAAAAAAAAAAGTCACTGTATTCCTAAGTGGACCTGCCACTGACCACCACTGGCTCTTCACATTAACGAGGGAACTACGTTACCCGGAAGGCCCTGGAAGCTATGTTAGGAATGTTTGTTTGGCCCCACGTGCCTGGCTCTGTGCTGGGCACCGCAGACGCAGGAGCCAGGAACAAATCTCTTCTGCCGACCACAGTTCAGAGGAGGAGAGGGACACATAATTTCAACACAAGCGCCCTGGACCCTGCAGGAAGACTGCACTCCCTATGAAGTCATTCTGAGAGCTTGATGGGGGCAGGCTGCTTCAGGGAGAGGCTGGCTTCGGTGTGGCAGAACTGGGGTGGGGAGACAAGAGCTGTCACAGGGCTCAGGTGTCAGAGCACAGCTGCGTTTGAACAACTGCACATCACTGACCGTGCACGGTTTAGAGAAGACCTCTGCACTGGGAGGGAGGCGAGGCTGAGACAAAGATAAGGCGACGGCACCAGCAGCTTTCCCACAAGGACTCAGGGTAGGAACATCCTGGGATAGTGGAAACGAACGCTCAAACAGCCCTCGTGTACAAAAGAGAAACTCAGGGCCTTTTGAATTGCATTTAAAACACACATTTACCTGCACAGAATTGAAATGCCCAGAATATGCAAAGTATTTTAAACAAGGGAAGATAATTTCCAGAAACTGGCCATTTTGTTATCCTTGACCGTCAAGTACAGCATTCTTCTGAAAGGGCACCACAGGCCTTATGGGAGGGCACCGAAGTCTGCCGGCAAGAATCAGCAACGGGACACTTAAGGCAGGGCTTTCTAAACCTTAGGTGTACCAGAATCTCCTGAGAGCTGTTGTAAAAGTCCAGATTCCAGGACCCCACCCCTAGGGGTTCTGATGTAGTTGGCCTGAAGTTCAGAAACCTACTTTATCTAATTGTTCTCATAAGATGTTGCCATGTGGCTGGTCAGGGACCACATCCAGGGCAGCACCAGCTTCAGGGCCTCCAAGGCCATGAAGCATATTAGGCCCAGAGATGGACTGAGCCAAGCCAGGAGTCCAGCCCAGTGCCAGCCCAGCTAAGCAGCCCCGGCAGGCAGGGGCGGGGATAAGGCACAGGTGCCTCTAAAAGCTAGTGGAAAGCTTTCCATATTAAATGTTGCAAAGTCTCCATCCTGCTAACTTGGGAATCAAAAGTAATTGAAATTTCAATAATTCATCAGCACATCAGGAGCCAAAATAGGAAAATTCCCTCGGAGCAAACTGTGCTCAGCAGTGAGACAGCAGCCAGGGCCCTGCTCTGCGAAGGCTTCCAGGAACCGCAGGTGGGCAGACACAGGTCATCCCCATCACAGGCCAGACACAGGGTCAAACTCAAAGTACCTCCGAGACAAGAAAAGCACCTGCTAGTGACAGATTACAGGGCCCACTGTGGAATGGCCCTGACAACAAGCAATGGGTGCTGGTTCAGACGCCCTGTTAGGCCATATGGCAGACGGGAGGGTCTGTTTTCCCATGAGCAACCAGGAAACCTGCCTGGTAGAGATTTGAATTTCAGTTTCCACTGCAGGACAATATGAAGTGCTGTATAATTAACAATGTTAACATCACTCCCAAACCCGAAGTGCCCACGCTGCAGACAGAACTGTCAGTGGCCAGTTCCTAGAATCCCCTCGGACCTACTCGCCTTGTCCTTTTTTCTTTCTTTTTTTTTTTTTTTTTAGGTTTATTTATTTATTTGAAAGGCAGAGTTACAGAAAGAGAGAGATCTTCCATCCGCTGGTTCACTCTCCAGATGGCCTCAACAACTGGGGCTGGGCCAATCCGAAGCCAGGAGCCAAGAGTTTCCTCTGGGTTTCCCACATGGGTACAGGGGCCCAAGTACTTGGGGCCATCTTCCGCTGCTTTCCCAGGCAGGCCAGCAGGGAGCTGGATCAGAAGTGGAATAGCCAGGACTCAAATCGGCGCCCATGTGAGATGCTGGTATTGCAAGCAGCGGCTTTACCTGCTACGACATAGTGCCAGCCCCTCTTGCTTTTTTAAAAATACAAATGGTCCTAGATTATTTACGAAAACTCCACTGAAACTGCTCAAGTTTTAAAAATGTTTTCCTTCTAATTATAAAAGTAAAACATTCCTCATGAGAAATTTAGATGAAAATGAAAAACAAAAACAGAGAAGTACTTACATTCTTTCTAACCATATAAAGACAATTACTTCTAGTCATTCTTGATGGTAGGTATGCATGCCACACATCTGCTTAAAATGATATCTAGGTCTAAAAAATCCAGTTTAGTTTAAAAACTCTGGAGAACATCTTTGCAAACTGAAGAATATAAATATGTTTATTTTGGGCTATGCTTTATTATTTAATAACTGTTAGTCAGCAGAAAAATCCAATGGAAGGGGGTGTGGTGAGCCTGTCACGGAAAGAAAGACAGGTGGCTGAGAGAAAAGACCGTCTCTCCTGATTGGGGCAGCAGGGATCTTAATTAATTTAAAAGAGTAATTACACAGAAGAAATGAAGGCCAAGACCAATTTGCTGACTCAGCATAGGTTAGCCTAGGAGAGGGGGAGACTCACTCTTTCCCACATCAGTGGGTAAGACTCGCACCCCCCCACAAAGCTACATCCAAATGTTAACCCTCAATACCTGTGAGCGCTACCTCAGTACAAAAACTTGCATTATTTTCATAGACATAATTCGATCAAGTATCTAAAGATGGGCTCATGATGGATTTGGGGGGGGCTCTACATCCAATGACTGATGTCCTTGCAAGGGAGAGGAGGGGGAGATCTGAGACACAGACCCAGAGGCACAGGGAAGGTCGCGTGAAGATGCAGGCAGAGACTGTTCACAAACTGAAGAACAGCAGGGTTGGGAGGAGGCAGGAGGGACGCTCTGGGGCCACGGGAGGAGTACGGCCCTGCCGGCTCCTTGATTCTGGACGTCGTACTCCAGAAGCATGAGGCAATCAATTTCTGTTGTCTGAGGCTCCAGCTTGTGCTAATTAACTAGCATATTATATGCCGATTTTTTAATGACACTTTTATTAAAGGAAATGTTTCTCCTTAAACACACACATTTTGGGGTTAAGAGATACCCACAAATCAAGGCTGGCCTGAGGGGGGTTTGGTACTCGTGAGATGGTCAATCCTGGAGCTCTTCCTGTCCCCACCGCCTTGCTTCATCAGGTCCTCAATGACAGAACACGATCTGAAGGCCACCCCTCCCTTCCCCCACCTCATAGGCAGTACCCACTCGACGCATGCAGAGAGGCTCAACTGCTCACACTGGAACCTGGGGGAGGGGGAGGGTCGGAGTGTGTCTACCACAGTGGAAAGGCACCAACACGGAGCGTTCACAGAGGAGCTGCCTTTGCCTCTGCCCTCACAGGGCAGCTGGCAGTGGAATTCACCTTGAAGTCTGAGTAGCCATTCCACAGGCAAATTAAACGGAAGAGACAATGGGGAGACTAAGGAAATGACATCAACTCTGCTTCTCTATAAAAATCAACCTACTGGGGAAGACAAGGTTGATGAGTCAAGAGGGTTCCCAATGGCTCAGATCCAGCTGGTGAACCAGAAATAAAGATAGCAAACGATGAGGTGCCTGCAGAAAAGCCATGGAAAATGTGGGTTACAAAAAACCTATGCATGGTTTTTAATTTTTTTTGCATGAAAATAAACTTGTATTTCAATTTCGTTTTTTAAAGTACACTCTGATGCAGCCAGTGGCTCTTGTACCAGTCTCTGGAATATTCAAGGAAGGGAACGCCTGAATTCTGGTTCATGGCACCCCTCAGCACAACAGCGAAAACAAAACAAAGAGCTAATTTTTTTGTTTTCAGAGAAATGAAAATTTCGGCCGTGGAGACGCTGAACTTGGAGACACCTTCAGGTGTGCGAGCGAGAACACCTCAGTCAACCATGAGAAACAGGAGTGTGGGGCATGGGCGAGGTCCAGGGCAGAGGCAGGCAGTGGGCAGGGAACCGAAGCACACCTGCCGGGAGCAGAGGTCACTCGGGACAGCAGGGAGCACCTCTTGCTCTGGGAGGGCAGGAAAAGAGGTGAGGGCAGCAATGAGAAGGTGGGTTTGTGGACGGACAGGGAGGGCGAGCAACCGACGGACAGCTCCTACTGTGTCTGCTAGGCGTACAGGGAGGAATTAGCGGACGTCAGCCGTGAGCAAGGGGGCTCAACTAGGACTAAACAAGACACCAAAAAGCTTACCCAGCACCCCTGAGCGCTCCGCCAAGCGCTCATTCAAGATGGCAGCTGGAGCAAAGGCACCACTTTCTTCAAAGGCCAGAGAGCTCATGGGCACAAAGAGTGAAGAATAAAAAAGGCTTAGACACCTAACAGTGGAAAGGAAGTGCTGGGGCACCAGCAGAAGTAAGATTTGGGCACATTTCTGAAAGCGCCACGCGAAAGGAAGAATGCAAAGGAAAGAAACAGAATAAAAACCCCTGATGTATGCAGGGGGAGGTGGCCAATGTACCAGAGGATGGCGG